TATGCAATAGAAGCAGGAGTGCTTACGAATAGACAAGATGAAAGACACAGGAGTCTTTAGATGTATTGAGTACTAGGTGTTTATGCATTGCTGAGTGATGTTAATGCAAAGTTTATTGCTGCAGCAGGTGCAATAGAAAAGTACAGGCAGTAAAGCAAAACATTTTGTTTTCTAAGAAAATATCAGGATGAGAGAGCATGTGCTATTTGGAGCTACTATCTATGTCCTGGAGGCATTAAATAACTGTCAAATGTAATCTAAGGGCATGTGCTTACAACACATTTTACTATTTTACTTTAAAGGAACACTCCAAAGAGCATAACCACTAAAGTTCACTGTAATGACTATGGTCCCAGAAGTGCCCTGATTCCCTCCCCCACCCCCTCCCACCCCCCCCCACAGACACACCCCTTACTCCACCAATTGTATAAAGTCAAACCATTTTTGAACAGTTTGACTTCTTACCTGGCATCCACCAAGTGCTGCTCACCTCGTCCTCTAACATTACCTGAGAGTCAGAAGTTCCAGAAGTTCCTCAGTGGGAACTTCCGTAAGTTCTCCTGACCTGAACTGGCAGGCAGAGGCAGTTCGTGTATGGTTCTCGAAGGAATTTTGAGAGGGCAGACATTTTGCCGCCCCTGCTGCTACTGAGCCTGCAGATTTGCATCTCCATTGTCATAGCAGTTATCGATGGCATATGTAACATATAGCAAACCTACTACTGGTCCATACGACCTTTGCCCTCTCTCTCTTCTGTCTGATCGTAATCACAATATCTGGCTTTGAGCCTGCATACACAATATACAACCACAAACTCCAACACAGTACAGCTTAGAAGCCTTGAATAAAAAGTCAGTTATATTATGGCTGCTTTGTCCTATTTCAAAACATGGGCCTGGTGCCACCTCTCTGATAGTCTCTATGTTTATCTAGTCCTTCCCCCACATAAATATTAGAGTGAATTTGTCCCCATTATCCCCACTGATTCCCACAGCCACAGCAATGCACCTTTTCTCTAATCAGTGATACCGTACCCCTCTTCACTGGTCCCTGGCCTTATGTAATAAAAGATAATAGTTGCTTTAACAGGAAACAGTCGAATATCTATGAAAGCATATGTGTCACAATACTTTGTAACACATAGTTAAAAAGAATCCCTAGAAATGATAAGTTACTGTGCTATCATTTTGATAGTGTAGTGACTGAGGGTGGGTTATGAGTCAAGTTATTGATGTGGTTGAAGTCTCTTAGGGAGTAGCCATTGTGCTTCCTCGGTTTCCTGATTTCCCAAGGTCTGTTCTTTGAGATTTGCTACATTGCCTACCAAGCATCTGCAAATACCTCCTTTCCGCTGCCCATATCAACAGTTTGAAATCCTTTTCAGCAGACATTTCTCATGGGAACAGACACCCATGCACAATACTGTCATGTAATGTCATGTATTAAGATTACACTTTATGTATGAAGGGTAGAGTTGGTTCTTTGCAAAGCAAGTTTTAACAGATAAATAATTAACTTTGTATGTGACCTCATAAAATGTCTTATTTACAAACTAGGAATGAAAATATTTTATTAATTGTATATTTAATTAAAGGGACACTCCACTAACCAAATACATGAAAAAAACAAAAACAAAAAAAACAATGTTTAGTCGATATGCCACTAAAGAAAACACGCATGCATTTACTAATGCATTTTTTTCATTGGGGGTATATCTAAAACAGCTTGCAAAAGCTGCAGATGTCTTGTCTGAAGCCTTTGCAAGCCCCTCCCACAATATCCCTGCCCAGATTTTATGTGGCTGTCCAATCACAGTCTCTCCAATGCAGATGAATGAGAACTGTTTGCAAGGCAGGTGTTCTGAGCAATTGCTGCCTCTTGAGTTTAGCTCCACTGAGCTAACCAAACCAGGAAGTAACAGGATCTGTTGTCTGATTTATAGCCATTAAAAGTGCCATTTTACATTGAAATCTGCACCTTTTTGTAAAATAAAAAAGAGGACATATTATTCACACATAAAGCACTTCAGCAAACTGAAAATGGAAGAGGGGTAGAGAAGAAAGGTAAAACAAAAAAGCATAAGTTACAGTACAGGTAAATCTCTCCGAATAATACAATTATGGATTAATTTGAGTTCTGCAAAGCTTATAAAGAACAATTAATGCACTCTAGAACATTTCTGATTCTGTAGTTATCTGTACATATGCAAGAAGTACCATCACGGACCATATAAAATATGGAACACTCTGTGAAAGTTGGGCAGACCATGAACTACAACAGAAACAGAGAGAACAAGATTTAGTTATTTGTTTCACACTTTGCTGCTATACCTGGGAATTGCTGCTTCGAAGCCCACATCTTCTGTTTTTACACAGGCGATATGTCACACATCATGTGGACAAACCATACCTATCACACAAATTACTTAGGTCAACTGTCATTAAATTTTCACTATTACTTTTTTAAACGTTTATTACATTTAATTAAACTCAAATAATTTATGTTTTTTAAAATAATTGTTTACTTTTTTTTTACTCTTTATGCTGAGAAGCCATTTTGGTTCAGGCTCTACTGTTATGCTCAACGAGATAATTTTATGAAGAAAAAAAAATCAATATGCATCATTTTTAAAAATATCATTATGTTTCCTTAAATGTAATACAATTTTAAGAAATGAATAGTGAAAATGTTATGACAGTTGTCTTTTAAGTGGTTCATTAACTGGCCACCAGACGTAAAGTTTTGGAACCTCCAGGTAGACCTGTATAGTTCTAATAGACCTGAATAGTTCTAATTCCAAGGATACAGTTAGTCCTCTCAGTATGTTAAAATAAAGATAAGTCCTGGGCCATAGTTGGACCAGAGATAAAAAAAAAAAAAAAAGAAAATATAGCATGCATGAATAAAACATTTGATGTTTTAGTGAAAAAAAAAAAAGAAAAAACAATATGTATATTTGTTTTGTGGGGAGTAACAGTTTCCGTTAAACAGAAAAATCCATGTGACTTAAAATATGGACATGCTCCCCACAGTGATTTTCTTTTTATGTGCAATTGAACTAAAGTCATTTGTCAAAAAGATGCTGGCTGTGAAGCAGTATATTGCTCAAGCTATAGCAGACTATTTCTCAAATTTAATGGACCTGATCACAGTGAAGTCAGTGGCAGTACATCTTCACACCTTGTTTTACACTGAACATAAGACATTGCTGGCATCATAAAACAGCATATGGACCTTTTAGAATAATGGGACTTTTAGAATATCCAGAGGTGCCAAAAATGTCTCATGAACTGTAACGCTAAGTAGATGGAATGCAAATCCTCTTAAGTCAAATGCTATGCATTTACGTTTTATTGATATAGAATATGAAGTGTGAAGCATTGTGATTTTTTATTAAAAAGCATTCTGTGCCAGTTTAATAGTATATAATTTGACAATTAGAAATTGACAGATTTATATTATATGCTTTGTTTCATCCTGACCAACCTGTAAGACCCATGCTACTTTTGTCCCACGACACCTACTCTTGTCTTCAGTTTACCTTCCATCCTACTCATTGTAATAATTTAGCCACAGGGGTAGTTGGAAGGTGGAAAGGAAGCCCACTTGTTCATAGGTTCTATAATATGACATAATAAATTGAATATAACCAGGAGCAGAAATCATTAAAGGGACACTACAGTCACCAAAACAATTTTAGTGTAATTAAACTGTTTTGGTGTATAGACCATGCCTTTGAAGTCTCACTGCTCAATTCTCTGCCATTTAGTAGTTAAATCACTTTTGTTTATGCAGCTCTAGTCACATCTCCCCGCATGTGACTTATACAGCCTTCATAAACACTTCCTGTAAAGAGAGATCTAATTTTTAAACTTCCTTTGTTCCACATTCTATTTAAATTAAAATGTATCTCCTGCACTGTTACTAGCTTGCTAGACCTTGTAGGAGCCTCCTGATTGTGATTAAAGTTCAATTTACTGAGCAGAAGATAAAACTGCATAACGCAAGTTAACATGTGATTGAAAATGAAACCATGAGTCACAGCCATGGTGGGTGTAAACAGAAACAAAAGTGATTTAACTCCTATATGGCAAAGAATTGAGCAGTGAGATTTGAGAGGCAGTCACCTAAACAGACACACTCACTTGCTGATTAGACACACACTAACAAACACACTCATTGACAGGCACATGCACACACACACACACACAGACACACTGTTACAGGTGTAACGGTGCTCTCTGTAGCCTGACTGGGTACCTCCGCCAAGGACCGCTTCCTAGCTGGAACAGGGGACAAACAGTAGCAATGCTGCCCACAGTCACCGTGGCTTGACTGGGGCCCTGGAACCGCTCCTTACTGGAGATGAATGGGAAATTAGCTGTAGTCCTTACAAGGACTTTCCCTGTTGAATCCCCTGCAAGCTGAAACAGCAGACACAGGAGTAACTCTTCTTTCCCTCCAATAACAGGATGACACACAGTTTTGGAGTGTAAGCTGGAATAGATTTTAATGGAGGGACACTGGCCTTTTATGCAAGTTTCCAAACAAGGGTGACATCCACGTGGACCTTGTTGGGCACAGGTACACAAAATGAACAAACCAATAAAAACAGAGTCATACAGTGAGACACACCCATACACAAACAATAGAATCCCTCCTCTATGCTTGGGAGATAATTGAATCAGGAACTGTACTAATCTTTTTTTTTTTAATTCTTTATTTTTACTCAATAGAATCAGCAAGTGTACATCAACTTTCAGGCTTACGCAGAAGCCAACATGTTCAACATTGTGGGGACATTGCAAAGTTTGCCGAGAAAATAAAACACAAAGAGTAAACAACAAAGACAAGGCAAGGACAATGTGTGCTCCGCCATATAATGAATCTACTGGCACCTGCCGTCTATCGAGGTGTTTTTAGATTTTTTTTTTAATTACCCCCTTCTAGGATGTACATCAATGAACGGGTAATTCGACAGTTATACGGTCACTTTCGAGCTAATATAGAGGCCTATTAAATTACAATTTAATATAAGAAAAAAGTAATCGTTGTGGTTGTCGTTTGCATATAATTGTAACTTAGTATTGGCTCTCTCCGTTTGTCGGGGAAACTTATGGTAGATAAAGGTACAGGCTAATCTGCAAAAGTTAAGTAGCCATCATATTTGCTGATCAACTTCCTAAGTGTGTTACCTTGTTCCTCCAATCATTGGTCTAGCCTGAAAAAACAAATCACATGAAACGATGAAATAAGAGAGAAAAAGGAAGAAAAAGGAAGAAAAAGAGGAAGTAAAAAGGATTAGAGAGAGAACGAGTAGTGCCTAGTCCAGGCTGAAAAAGGAAAAAGAGGGAACTGAGGGGGAAACGGCGGGCCCACCATCTCTCCGCTGGCAGCAGCACCCCAACCGGCGATATATCGTCGCGGTCAGCACCAGTTGGGGTATGCCTTCAATCTCCGCTCGATCCTAATACGCTATTGTCCCATGGTTCCCAGAGTTTTTGGAATGGTTGCGGTGGTCCCCCTCACCCTTGCTGTCAAATCATCCATAATTCTACATTCTTTAAAGGAACTGTACTAATCTAACTCAATTATCTCCAAGCACTGAAAAAAAAAATTTTTTTTATGAAACCCCAAAAAGTACCTTAAAAACACACAAATAAAAGTCACATCCCCTGATAGCCCCGATCTGGGTGAACAACATATCCAAAAATCACCCAGAACTGTTCAGGGTTTCAGGAATTTCCTGGAAGTCATAGTTTTGACTGACCGCAAGCATGGCCCCATGCCCAAAACAGTTCCAGGGAAATCAGTGCTAACAGTCGGGCAAGTTTGGTAGTCTTTTCCAGGTTTCCCTGCAGGACCCATAGTCTGTGGGCAGGAGGCTGGCAAGCAGGCTCCTCCAGGAGCTCATGACAAACTCAGGTAAAAATGGAAGTTTGCCACAGCAGGCATGCTGACTCACACAGACAGACATACTGACAAACACAGACACACACACACAGGCATACTGGCTGACACACATACACACACAGACAAACTGGCACACACACAGACAGACATACTGACACACACACAGACAGACATACTGGCACACACACACACACAAACATACTGACACACAGACACACACAGAGGCATACTGACACACACACAGACATACTGACACACACACACACACACACACACACATACAGGCTGGTGCAAGGAGTTTTGGCTACACAGGCAAAGATGCATTTTGCTGCCCACGCTTAAAAAAGTTAGCATCTTTACCTGTGTGTCTTGTAAACCCCCTTTTGATTTCTTACCCTCTTTAGTGTATTTTATCCCCCTTTAGTATGTCTTACACCCTCTTGTGTCTCTTATAACCCCCTTGTGTATCTCTTTCTTTCCCCAGCCCCACTGTGTGTCTCCCCTCTATTATTTTTTGAGTGTCTCTTTCCCCCACAGTCACTTTCTGTAGCTCTCTCCCTTCAGCACATTTTGTGTCTTTTTCCATGCGATATAGACATAGATATATAGCAACACACAACCATACAGGCACTCAGTCACAGAGACATGCAGGCACACGATTGAACAAATACAGGAACACAGCCATACAATCTACACATACAGGTACAATGTCATAAAAAACACAGACATACAGACACACACAGAGACATTCAGACACTATCATACAGACACAGGCATACAAAGACATACATACACAGGCTTATAGTCATATAGATACAGGCATAAAAAGCAGGGGCAGAACCAGAGCCTAATCTCGGGAATGGCAGTGGAAGTGGGTTGTTGTGGCTGTAATTGGAAAGTTAGGGCATGTAGTAGGGGGATTTGGATTTTTGCTTCCCCCTCCTCTGGCACCCTAAGGCGGCTGCCTGAGCTGCCTTATGGACGTGCCAGCCCATGGGGGGACATTTATTTATTTAGTTTTGCTAGATGAGGGCGGCCCTGGATTTAGAGCGGCCTGGGGGGCAATTACCTCCCTGCCCCTGTCCCAGCCTGCCCCTGTTGACAATAGTGTCCATTTAAGAACTAAAAAGAGACTTTTCACAGCTCACTCAAACCTTCAGCAGAGTTTTTCAAAGAAATACAGTATTTTAGATTGGGTATAAAGTCCATGTTCCAACGACTCCCAGAGAATCAGGAGGCAATAATATTGTTTCCCACCCATCCTTCACACCATGTGTGTCTATGTATTGTATATTTATCTATTTTTTTTTAATGAAATATATTGTGCCCTTTAGTTTTGGATTAAATGAATACTACAAGCACTATAATTACTACAGACTTCTGTAGTTGTTATGGTGCCAGGAGTGCCTTTATGCCCTCCTAGGATAAGTAGTCAAACCGTTTGAGAATGGTTTGACAACTTACATGGGGTCAGCGAGGTGGCTAATGCAGCCTCTTCTGGAGCTGAAAGCCTGCACTGACATTCCATTAGCTCTATTGAGTATAGAATTGCAGGGTAGGATAACTCACTGGCTGACAATGAGCTAGGCTTAGAGAGAACTTCTTGGGATTGGGAAAGAACAGGAGGCTCATGGTGCACACTTAAATTATTAAGCCATTCATAAATGGTTTGTCTTTTTATCCTGTAAAGGATGAAGGTTAGTCTTGGATTCATTACCACTGCAGCGGTTATGGAACTACTATAGCAGTTTGTTGATATAGTGCAGTGATGGCGAACCTTTTTGAGCCCGAGTGCCCAAACCGCAATACATGCCAACATTTTGTCTCCTTAAAGTGCCAACACGGCAATTAAACCCAAATACTGAGGTTTAAGTTTAGAAAAAAACAACTCGTACTGTTGTCCGAACTAATAACTTTTGTTTTAAAAGAACACAGAGAGTTCAATTATACAAATTTTAAATAATTATATAAATAGATAAAATTAAGCTTATATTTATTAGTATCTCCAACAAATGCAATACATACACACACAGACTGCTGAATACATACACACAGTCTGCTGAATACACACACACACACTAGACTGCTGAATACAGAGACTGATGAATACACATACAGACAGACTGCTGAGTACACACACAAGACTGCTGAATACAGAGACTGATGAATACACATACAGACAGACTGCTGAGTACACACACACACACACACACACACTGCTGAGTACACACACACACAGACTGCTGAGTTCACACACACAGACTGCTGAATACACACACACACAGACTGCTGAATACACACACACACACACTGCTGAATACACACACACACACACAGACTGCTGAGTACACACACACAGACTGCTGAATACACACACACAGACTGCTGAATACACACACACACACACACTGCTGAATACACACAGACTGCTGAGTACACACACACAGTCCACTGAATACACGCAAACACACACAGTCCACTGAATACACGCAAACACACACAGTCCGCTGAATACACGCAAACACACCACTGCTGAATACAGGGTGCTGCGGGGGGGTAGGGGTACTGTGTGTGGGGAGTTGGGGTACTGTGTGTGGGGGGTAGGGGTACTGCTGGGAGGGTAGGGGTACTGTGTGAGGGGGGTAGGGGTACTGTGTATGGGGTGGGGGGTACTGCTGGGGATAGGGGTACTGCTGGGGATAGGGGTACTGCTGGGGATAGGGGTACTGCTGGGGAGGGCAGGGGTACTGCTGGGGGGTAGGGGTTACTGCTGGGGGGTAGGGGTTCTGCTGGGGTAGGGGTACTGCTGGGGAGGGGAGGGGTTACTGCCGGGGAGGGTTAAGGGGTACTGCTGGGGGGTTAGGGGTACTGCTGGGCAGGGTAGGGGTTACTGCTGGGCAGGGTAGGGGTTACTGCTGGGGGGTTAGGGGTTACTGCTGGGGGGTAGGGGTACTGCTGTGGAGGGTAGGGGTACTGCTGTGGAGGGTAGGGGTTACTGCTGTGGAGGGTACGGGTTACTGCTGAGGGGTAGGGGTACTGCTGGGGAGGGTAGGGATTACTGCTGGGGGGGTAGGGGCTGCTGGGGGGGTAGGGGTACTGCTGGGGAGGGTACTGCTGGGGAGGGTAGGGGTTACTGCTGGGGGGGTATGGGTGCTGTGTCAGTATACCCCCCCTCCCTCCTTCTTACCTTTAATGAAGTAGGGGGGGAGGGGGACACAGCGATCCCTGGTGGTCCGGTGGTGGTAAGCACTGCAGGGGGAGGGCTCCAGGAAGCAGCTCCCCTGTCCTCCCGCAATGCTGTGTGGAGCGTTGCCATGGTAACGCGCGGCAACGCTCCACACAGCATCGCGCGGGAGGACAGGGGAGCTGCTTCCTGGAGCCCTCCCCCTGCCTCCCGACCCGGAAGCAGAGTAGGCGCCTGCCGTTCCGGGCAGGCAGGCGCCTACTCTGCATTGATGGCGGACCTGTGGCCGCGTGCCCACAGAAAGGGCCCGGCGTGCCACCTGTGGCACGCGTGCCATAGGTTCGCCATCACTGATATAGTGGAACCATACATTGGTTATGGTACCTAAAGTATTAATTCGATACAAATCAGTCAGTGGTACTGCCTAAGTCTTTTCATTAGAACTTCTAAAAACAAAGATCCACAACTGGGATTGATGTTAATAACTGTAAAAGGTACTAATTGATTTGAAAGTAGTATCTAGGGAAGCTGTAGGTACAGCTTAACTTTTTTGGTGTAATGTTGCCCTTCAGATGCCATGCTATATTTGCTAAAATTCCTAGTTTAGTTAATAAACCCTTGGGAGGTTTTGCCTTGTCAGAACTATGTAGTTCTTGTAATGTGTAGCCTATAGTTACCAAGTAATGTTTACAAAATAAAGATACATTCATCCATCCTAAGATAACATTTTACACTACAGAATCCTCCCTGAATCTTTCGTATTGAAATGTGAGAGCAGACTACAGTTTCTATATACAGTTTCTAGACACACTTTACAACAGCCAATAAACACAAAATATTGTGGTGAGATAACATGGGACATTAAGATCAGTCTGGAAAATAAAATCATTATTCTTCCAAACATGCCAGACTGTGAATTTCTTTGGTATTTTCCCCTAGTTTTCCCATAGTTAATGTTAACTTATTTTAGTTTCAAAAGAAATTTATAAACAACTTCTCATTGTATCTAATTTTTATTTGTTACTATAAAGCGCCAACATGTTCCACAGCGCTGCACAATTAAGGGAGGACATACAATACACAAAGAGGGCCCTTCCTGTGAGC